AACAGGGGGCGCGTTGTTTTGCTGCGGAGGCCGGACGCGTTTTTTTTTTTTTTTCTTTTTGCTATGGAGGCCAGGCCAGGCTTTTTTTTTGGTTTCGCTGTGCGACAGCGCAATTCTAGGGGAAAATGCGAGGGACGCTCCACACCAGAGCGCGATTCTGTGCGAACATATCATTTTAATTTACAGAGAAGATGCCGCTTCAACAAAGTTCCTCGTGACAACTGATGAAGGCAAATTAATCGAGCCCTAGCGGCCGTCGGCAACACACTGTATCTGTGAAATCAAGCTCTCAACCGAAGCATCCGGGCTTTGGAGGGCTTCGGCAAAGATCCTGGTTGAGGGCCTGTGGTTTCAAGCAAGATAGGCTCCAGAGCATGTTGCTCTGAATCGCCTCATGTCTTGCTACTCTTCTCAAGCTAAAGAACGAAACTCCAAGCCAATGCGATACACCATTGAGCGTGGCACCGGCCATGCGCTGTTGGTTTTCCCTACACATAAATAGAGGGACCTCAATATAGACCCTATAAGCCCCTATAGTATCATATTCCATCTGATTTTCCATTTGATTGTTCCATTTGATGGTCTTGTATTGAGGGGAATATTCATATCCGGCTACATCTTCAAGGCAGTCTTCCCTGTAGATTCCCTTCACCTTGGCCAGACGCTCATTATCAGGATTTCCCCAAAGGAGGTCCCTGGTTCAGGGGCAGCTGGATTGTATCCCCATTATCTAGTGGAAAAGAGCACAAGCTCTCATCAGACAAGGCCTCTTCGCTCTTTTTTCGGTGGGGTTTTCACATATGTTCAGGCCGCCAGTACGCCATCGATGTAGCAGACCGCATTGAGGCCTTTCTGCCATGAGGACATCTGAAGAGTGGTACTTCCAAAGGGATGGGATTGATGGCGAGTTTGGGATGGGATTGATGGCAAGTTTGCCATTTGAGCAGGCTGATACAAGATCGTACAGTTCTCATTTCCCATTGGGGCGCCCGGGGGAGCGCACGCCTTCCTCATCTTGTTCACGTTCCTAGAAGTGAGTCTTCTGGGTGAGTCCGGGGAAGTATAGCTGGACGATCTGGTTAGACATGCCTGAGATGAGCCCCCACTGACCGTTGCACTTCCGCGCATGACAAGTAAGCAGGCATTGGTTCCATGAATTATATGGACCATTCGCGGGGTTGGGCAAGCGCTGAGTGGTCTAACGAATGCTTCAGGGATCCTTCAGATGTCGAGGCCCACCACAGCGACTGGGAAGTGCCAGAGCGGCCATCAGCGGCACCTGCAGCTGGACGAGCAGCTGGATGAGGGTGCCCAAGCTGGGAATCTTCCAACTGGACCCCACCCTGCTCCGGACGTTTTTCGCAGCTTTGTACAGCAGCTGCTTGGCACGCTCGCGCCAGAGACAAGACTCAGCAAGCCGAAGGACAAAAAGCTGTGGTGGCAAGGAGCCGTAGCGTAATTTTAGGGCTGTGCTTGGTAGGAAATCAAACTCGCTTCCGCGTTCACGACCAATCCTGAACATGAAAAACAGATTCCCTTTCTTTTGAACCTTCCCCAGAAAGTCCAATATCCTCAAGCTAGGGAATATACCCTAGATGGTGCTGGGCCCCAATATGGGCTGTTGGGTCTATCTTTCCTTCTGAGCCCGGGTCTGCACAGATTTGCTTTCAAAGCCCAGACCTGCGTCATCATCCAAACTTCCAGTCGTAACATGTATTTGATGTCACTATTGTCTTAGGGGTACTTGGAAATACTCTTTACTTTTTGCTTATTATAATCCTAAGGAACAGCAAAAATTATAAGTATTTTTACTAGGGTTCCAAGTTCCACAATGTTGTGGCTATCCTTGTTATCATAGCCCAGTCATACTGTTCCTGTTACCTTTGCTCAGGTGGAGCTCTTCTCTTTCCTCAGCGATAAAGATCTTTTTGCAGAGATCTACAGGACACTGAGGTTGAAACGGGTCAGTGCATGGAATCTCCTGGCTTCCTTTGCATTTTGGAGACTTAGGCTTAAGGATGTCAGATCTCATCCTCCCATGTAAGCACCCTAACCCTAAACCCTCAAACCCTCAAACCCTCAAACCCTAAAACCCTAAAACCCTAAAACCCGAAGCCCTTGTGGAGGAATCAGCTGTCCAAACGGCTGTTGTACGAGACCTCGGCCTCCGAGGATGCGGAGAAGAGCCCCTTGGGCCCAAAGGGCCCCCAGGCCCTGGTAGTAAGCAATACTTTATGGATATAATGGCGCCGGCGCTGTATTGGGAAGACTTAGTATCGCAGAGGTTTGAGTATAGGGGGGGTACAAAATCGCTGGTTGATCAGTTGCTTGCAGCAGGATGGAGTGGCCATTCTGGACTAGAATTGACATTCCTATCTCACATTGCAGGCTTCTCCCTTGCACGGGACAGCCATGTCCAGAACCCCCCAGGTGCAGTCCATGAGCTACAAACCCTGAATGGCATAGGTTTCAGGCCTGAGGATGTGACTGTGGTATTGTTGGATGCAATCAAGGCATGATCGCCAAGCTCAAGATGAAGTCCAGCTCTTACTGGTTGAAACGATACCTTTCATGCCTACCACAACGTGGTTTGATATGACTGCTGGGAGTGAAAGCATGCAATGGTAGAAGTTGGCAGAGATCGCAGAGTCGTATTGACGTGATGCCGAGACAATTGTGTAGTATCTTATTTGGGGATACTATGGTACCCATTCTAGAGTAAGATTCTATCCTCCTTTTGGGGTATAGTATTTTATATAAGGAATAGAATCTTACCGGGTTTAACCACCAAAAAAATGCTACTCATATAGTGTTTTTGCTAATGCCGGGCGCGCCCGTGAAT